TTAATCCAAATTCTAGTTTAATTTTAATTACATAATCACATATAACAAATCCCAAATAACTTTTATCATAATTCAAAAATATTAAAAGATCAAATTGGTTAGTTGGATTGCGAGGAATTTAAATGGAAAACTAATAAGGGTAATTATATTGCCACCACAAAAAGCTTTTGTGCCACCACATTTTTAAATATTTTTTTGATTTATAAAACTGAACATTAATAAAATGACGTAAATAACCTCTCAATTATTTCTTTCTATTTTTTTTGTAAAGTAAATCTATTTTATTTGATTCCTATACACACCACAATTCCCATGGCACCACAATTCCAATTCCATCCGTCTTTTCTTGGTTCATTCTTCTACCGGTAGAAAACGAATCCAGAGTACGTCCTATTAATTTCTCCATTAACATTCTTTTTGGTTGCTCCATATATTGTAAGTACATAATTTATATATTTTTTAATAAAACTCATTATTATTCCACCACAAACATAAACCCATTTTTTTTTTTTTACAGTTAAGAGTCTTCTGGCTCAGGCAAACGAATTTATTAATTTGTGTAATCTTCAAAAGTTTTTCTGTTTTTTTAATTACTTTCGTTTTTCTTCCTCGTGTTGCTTGGCACTTGTAAGCATTGTCCAAATTTCAAACTTATTTGGCAGCTCCTTTTAAACATTAACGAAGTAAATTTCAAACTTAAGCCTCTCAGACAATATTGAACGTGCCGGATTAGGTCTGTTCAATTGAAACTTCTGTAGCTACATGAGATTTAATATTGCATTGAAGAACTAAAGCCACTCCACAGCTCACTCATCCTCCTGGCCATGCAACCNAGACAATATTGAACGTGCCGGATTCTGTCTGTTCAATTGCAACTTCTGTTGCTACATGAGATTTAATATTGCATTGAAGAACTAAAGCCACTACACAGATCACTCATCCTCTTGGCCGTGCAACCTAGCCAATCTGTTGGTGACAACATCCTCCAACTGTGCTGCACACTCGACAATTTCCTTCATTTTCTTTGTAGAGACATTGTGTGCTATCTCCGCCCAGTAAGTACTGTCATTAAACAAATTAAACAGTCAGGCAGTCAGCGAAAATTTAAAAATGCCACAGTATCTTCGAACAGGATAGAAAAATGAATAGCGGGCTGTTGTGCATCATTAAGACCTTTGTTTCTGACTTCTGAGACATCGTGAACAAAAAATTTCTTACATCTATTTGGGAAGTAGTGGTGGGTTTTCTTATCTGAACCGTAACCAAAGATGCATAAATGAATGCCTTCACATCAAAGATCAGCAGCATTAATATGGACAACAGTTGAGGCATCAACTCACAGTTGAACAAACATCTCAACCATTAGGAATTCAAAGAATATTAGGCAGGTAGAGTAACTACTAGAATGTTAGGAACAAAGGAACTTCGAAGCCAAAAGTTCTTACTTCCAATTTCTTGTAGCGATTACCAAATTCCAAACAATAGCAG